GAAATCTACATTACCTGTATCAGCCAGATATACCTATTTTCAGTTCCGTCATTTTTTCCATACCTTGAATTCTTCTCTAACACTAGACCGTCCCACAGATCTTGAGAGGATATTGGCTAAAGGACCCTCCCAACAACATCTTATTACCTCTTTATATAAACTACTCCTCAATAAAGGTTCTCTTGTTGATAACCCCCACCGTTATATGAAGAGATGGGAAGACGAACTTCAATGCCCAATCTCTCTGAAATGTTGGCATATGATTTGGGACTCTGTTCCTAAGACCTCTTGTTGTGTCTGACAGGTGCTGGAGGTGCATGGGAAGAGTAGGCGCCTTGGTACACATCTTTTGGTTCTGTCCATAGATTACAAGTTATAGGGCTACGGTTAAAATGGTCCTGGAGCAAGTAATTAATGTTATCCTTCCCCTAGACCTGCTATCTTTTGGGACTACACTTTAGAGGTATCTGTAAGCAATCTAAGAGGTTGGGAATACATATTTTGATGGCTGCTAGATGGGTGATACCACGATTCTGGAAAACAGTCGATATCCCCACACTAAATCATCTTTTAAGAGAATTGAAATCAGAGAAATGGAATATCTTACAGCTCTAGTGGGTGACTACTCCGGTCATTTTCCATCTATTTGGGAACCATGGGATCATTCTCCCTTTGGCAGACTTCCTCCTTCTCCCCCCCCCCCCCCCCCCCCACCTTATATAGTTCAGACATTTCTTTCCTTAACAAGCAACTGACAACTAATGTAACCCAACAATGTGCAGATTTATGTCATTTTGTGTTCTTGTATTGTACAATTTACCATGCTGTCTAATTATGTTCAGATTTCTTTTGTTTCTGTTCTCTTTTATTTTGATTGTGGATTTCTTTTACTGCAATGTTCACACCTAAAGTGTTGTTGTAACTTTGTTCTGAAAAAATGGGCTTTGGCCTTTATTAAAAATGTACAATATTAAAAAAAAAAAAAGAATTGAGCTCTGTCATTTCAAAGCCATTGTTTCTAATTTTTAGAAACTCTTTAATGACTGGCATAGTACCACTGGATTGGGTGTAAAGCCACTTTGTTGCCCTATATTTTAAAAGTGGTCAAAGTCTTTACCAAGTAAGTACAGACCTGTTAGTTTAACCTCTATAGTTGGGAAGATACTGGAGAGTTTAATAAAGGACTATATAGATGAGTTTTGCTAGAATATTTTAAGCAATAGACAGCATGGATTCATAAAAGACAGAAGCTGCCAAGCAAAAACTTAGACAAAGGAGTGGCTGTGGATGTGGTATACTTGGATTTTGCAAACGTGCATGACACAGTTCCCTACACACAGCTAATTTGTAAGGTAAAGTCTACAGGCTTGGAAAAATCGGTATGTAAATGGATAGAAAACTGGCTAAAAAGATCGTATTCAGAGAGTAGTGGTTAGGGATTCATACTCGGAATGGTCTAAGGTCAATAGTGGTGTACCCCAAGGTTCAGTGTTGGAACTCTTACTTTTGATTATATTTATAAATTATATAGGGTCTGAGATTAAAAGTACTCTTTCAGTCTTTGCAGATGACACCAAGTTATACAGTGGAATAACATCCTTACAGGATATCTCCAACGTAAGTTATACACTTGGGGGCTAAAAATATGCATGAATCATACATACTAGGGGGGTACAACTGAAGGAATCAATGGTGGAGAAGGATCTGAGTGTTCTGGTAGATCATAAGCTTAATAATGGCATGCAATGCCAAGCTGCGGTTTCCAAAGCAGGCAAAATTATTTTTTGTATTAAGAGAGGTATAGACTCCAGAGAGAGAGAGAGAAATATCATTTTACCCCTGTACAAATAATTTGTATGACCTCATCTGGAATATGAAGTTCAGTTTTGGGTACCAATTCACAAAAAGAACATTGGAGAACAGGAGGAAGTGCAGAGAAGGGCAACCAAACTGGTAAGAGGCATGGAGGAGCTCAGCTATGAGGAAAGATTAGAGGATCTGAATTTATTCTCTCTTGAGAAGAGGAGATTAAGGGGGGATATGATCAACATATATAAATACATAGGTGGTCCATATAGTGAACTTGGTGAAGAGTTATTCACTTTAAGGTCATCACAGAGGACAAGGGGGCACTCTTTACAGCTGGAGGAAAAAAGATTTAACTTCCAAATACAGAAAATATTCTTCACAGTAAAAGCAGTGAAAATGTGGAATAGACTCCCTCAAGAGCTTGTTCTGCTCAGCTCAGTAGATCGCTTTAAGACAGGTATGAATTATTTCCCAAATGAACATATTATAACTGTATACTAATATTTGTAGGTTACATTGATCCAGGGCATTTTCAATTGCCTTTTGAGGGACCAGGAAGGATTTTTCCAACCACTGGAGCGGATTTCATCATGATTTTTATTGGGGGGGTTACCTTTCTCTGGATCAACTGTTGGATATAGGATTGTGTATATGGAGGTTTTCATTTTTTTGTGTGTTTGTGTTTTTTTTTCTCTCTCTCTGTGGGCTGAACTCGATGGATTTGTGTCCTTTTTTACCTGACTAACTACGTACCCATGAAATCCTCATCACTTCTGGTTTCTAATGTCTGAGGAAGCAGATGCCACTGGTGAGATCCTTACTGGGCTCCTCGATCAGACAGGAGAGCCCGGTTAAGGCGCTGGCGGTGGTTGAAGGGGGGTGGACCCCCTTCCGCCACCTGAAAAATTAATCCAGCAGCCTAGTTCATTTGGGATAAATCTAGACCCAAATTAAAATAATCACACTTCAAAGACCATCACCTGCATGTTAATATTAAAGTCCCATTAGTAGTAGGGAGGTATTCAGTTATTTGGATAGCACAGTCATGAGGCAGCCCCCCTATAGAGTTAAGCTGGACTCTGTAGTGGAAGATAAAAAGAGAGAGAGAGGGGTGCCAAACTAAATGCAGTATTGACAATCATTTATTAGCACACAATGGTATGTAACTCACTAGATGAAAGTAGGTAATAGGCATGGATATATAAGGACATCATCCTGATGGAGTTCCAGAGGCAGAGAGGAGAGGGTGGATGGACATCTGGGGGCCACGGCTGTGGTGGAAGCCAGGTCTCCTGACTCACATCAAGTCCTCTGCAGTGTGTACAGGCTGTGTCTCGTGCAGAACCAGGCTGGAACGCAAATGGCCTCCGGGCGAAAGTGAAGTCACTATGGGAACATAATGCTGGAAGGAAGGGGCGGTAACGCGTTTCAAAGCTGCTGCTTCTTTGTCAGACCTGATTGGCCACTGGGCCAGCCATCTAAATAGGGAGTTGACGGGGCGGGGAATGGCTGTGTGGGATGGATATGCCCGCCCTCTCAAGCAATCAATTCAGGAAGGAGAATAGTGCGATGATAAAGTCGTATGGGACAAGAATATTAACAGATTGCAGGATACATATGGGGGACAATAAAACTAAATGCAATATATAGAACAAGGAAAGCAATATGTAAAACGAATAATAGCTGGACTTAAAACGTACATAAGGACAAATAAAAAAATAATCAAAAATGAATAATAAAATAAAATGTTACATGTTAAAACATAGCAATGATGATGGTCTATTTGTATGGTGGTGATACACAGTGTTGAATAAAAATTATATATTTTGTGGATAAATTACAATACAATGCAAAACTCACATTTCAATAATGTACGCACCGAGTTGTGGGAATATAAGCACTCGGGGTCACGGATATCGGGCTCTTTGTAGAAAATGCAAACTGCAAAAAATGTAAAAAAAAAGGGTTAAAAAAAGTTGAAAATGTGTATATATCTATATACACATAAAAATGAAACACATAACCATGATTCGTGACCTCCAGTGCTGGTAAACATGTGATGCGTTATAGGCTCAGCCGATAGAAAATATTTAAAATTATATAAAAAAAATCCTAAATATATATATATATACTCAGGGGCTGCGATCTGGTTCCTGTCTGCTCCAAGTCATCCCCACCATCAGAGGCCCTGGTGAATAAGCAGACTGGGACTTAGACTCCGTGCCCTGGGGAATCCTGTCCTGAGGACTGCTAGGGGTATCACCAGATGGTCATTGACAGAACACCTAGGCCAATCCTGACCAGAAGTGGCCACACAGGGAAGCCATCTTGGCTTATTGTTGTGAAGGATGCATCCTGAGGAGGTTGTATATTTGTGTCTGCTAGTCTTTAATGACAGAGATTATGCCTATCAGACTCTGAAGGAGTATACCAGGGATCAACTGCTAGAATGCATACGGATCGCTCATTTTCTAGTGGATCAAGGCACAGAGTTCTTTGAGGTGCAGCCATTGATTCAGGTTTGTGCAGAGTTGGCTTCTTCTGGTGACCCTGAAAGCAGGAATGACCTTTTGCCGCCATTTAGTGCAGACCAGGTAGAGTCCCTGGTATGGTTATTAGAGGATGATGTGGATTGCTTCTTGGAGCATTATTCTGCATGTTCACAACAGGTGCTTAGGGATTGTATAAACGCAGTGCAGTCTTTGACCAGACGGGCTTTGTGTAACCTGAGCTTTGTTCAGCCAGTACTGCAGACATGGTCGGATTTGTTACATCCAGCCTCAGTCAGCTTGCAACAACCCAGTCCTGCTTCTAACCATTACTCTGCTCAAAGCTCTCTTCCTCCAGTTCCCACAGCACCCCCCGTGACAGCCCAGTATACCCTGCTAGCTACCACATGTCAGTCCCCTGCTCCCACTCGCTGCACCTATCCTGCCTTTTACCCTGTAAAGAAGCCCTCTGTAGCAACTGCTCCCTCCTTTGTTCCATCCTCCGGCTCTTCCCTGTCTTCAGCTGCTCCATCCGTTTACAGACCTGCATTTACTTACAGTGCTCCAGTAACTAAACCCAAGAAGAAGCGAAAATTCTTTCCAACCAGTACCATCCTACCAGTATCCAAACCGGTCAGCCTGCTGTCTGAGGACCCGCCTTCCGTTGTCCAGCCTGATGCCTGATGACCCGATCCGGCCTGATGACCCGATCCGGCCTGATGCCCTGATGCCCGGTGACTCGGTGCCCGCGGTCTTGCCAGATGACTCGGTGCCCGATGACTCCATGCCCGCTGACTTGCCCGGTGACTTGGTGGCGGCTGTCGTGCCAGATGACTCAGTGTCCGCTGTTGAGCTTGGTGACCCGGTGCCCACGGTTCTGCTAGATGACTCGGTGCCCGCTGTCGTGCCAGATGACTCGGTGCCCGCTGTCGAGCTTGGTGACCTGGTGCCCGCGGATCTGCTAGATGGCTCGGTGCCCGCTGACGTGCTCAATGACTCGGTGCCCGCTGACTTTCCCGGTGACTTGGTGCCCGCGGTCATGCCAGATGACTCGGTGCCCGCTGTCGTGCCAGATGACTCGGTGCCCGCTGTCGTGCCAGGTGACTCGGTGCCCGCTGTCGTGCCAGATGACTCGGTGCCCGCTGTCGAGCTTGGTGACCCTGTGTCCGCGGTTCTGCTAGATGGCTCGGTGCCCGCTGACGTGCTCGATGACTCGGTGCCCGCTGACTTGCCCGGTGACTCGGTGCCCGCGGTCGTGCCCGATGACTCCGTGCCCGATGACTCCGTGCCCGCTGACTCCGTGCCCGCTGTCGTGCCAGATGACTCGGTGCCCGCTGTCGTGCCAGATGACTTGGTGCCCGCTGTCGTGCCAGATGACTCGGTGCCCGCTGTCGAGCTTGGTGACCCGGTGCCAGCGGTTCTGCTAGATGACTCGGTGCCCGCTGTTGTGCCAGATGACTCGGTGCCCACTGTCGAGCTTGGTTACCCGGTGCCCGCGGTTCTGCTAGATGACTCGGTGCCCGCTGACGTGCTCGATGACTCGGTGCCCGCTGACTTGCCCGGCGACTCGGTGCACACAGTTTGCCAGATGACTCGGTGCCCAGTGACTTGGTGTCCGCTGACTTGCCCGGTGACTCGGTGCCCGCTGTCGAGCTTGGTGACTCGGTGCCCGCTGTCGTGCCAGATGACTCGGTGCCCGCTGTCGAGCTTGGTGACCCGGTGCTCGCGGTTCTGCTAGATGACTCGGTGCCCGCTGTCGTGCCAGATGACTCGGTGCCCGCTGTCAAGCTTGGTGACCCGGTGCTCGCGGTTCTGCTAGATGACTTGGTGCCCTCATCAAGACCCTCTCCTCCAATCCTCGCCGACTCTTCTCCACCTTCAACTCTCTACTCTCTCCACCCCCACCTCCACCCAGCACCTCACTCACCACCCTTGAGATTGCCAATCACTTCAAAAACAAGATTGACATAATTCGCAAGGACATTGCCGCAACTCACACTCCATCTCAACCCGTCCCCTCTCACACAGCTACCCCTCATCCCCCCTCTCCCTCGACATAACCCGCAGGGACTTCGTCACTGCTCAATCTCCCTCCAACCCCGTTCCCCCTCACTCAGCTACCCCCTCATCACCCCTCTCCCACAGCCCCACCACTGCTCTGACCGCCACTTCCACCCACCCCACCCCACATTCCTCATACTGAAGCCCCCTCAACACTCCGCACCTTTGACCTTACTACCATCGAGGAAGTCTCCAAGGTCCTCTTTGATGCCCGCCTCACCACCTGCCCCCACGACCCTATCCCCTCACAACTCCTACAACCTCCTTCCCCCTCCATCCTATGCTCCTTCACCCACATCTTTAATCTCTCCCTCTCCTCCGGCACTTTCCCCTCCCCTCTGAAGCATGCACACATCACCCCCATACTTAAAAAGCCCTCCCTGGACCCCAATGATCCGAACAACCTCAGACCCATCTCCCTGTTCCCATTCACATCCAAACTCCTTGAGCGGCTAGTCTACACCCGCCTAAGCTCTCACCTCAACGACAACAACCTCCTCGATCCCCTACAGTTCGGCTACCGTCCCCTACACTCCACCGAAACTGCCTTACTCAAACTTTCCAATGACCTGCTAACCGCCAAAGCTAATGGCCACTATTTAGTGCTCCTACTCCTTGACCTCTCTGCAGCCTTTGACACAGTTGACCACCCCCTCCTCCTCAAAAAAAACTACACTCCCTCGGCCTCAGAGATTCTGCTCTATCCTGGCTCTCATCCTAACTGTCACAACTCTCTTTCAGCGTTACCTATAATGCTACCACCTCCCCCTCACTCTCCCCTCTCTGTTGGGGTCCCTCAAGGCTCCATCCTCGGGCCCCTTCTCTTCTCTATCTACACCTCCTCCCTTGGCCAACTCATACACTCTCACGGCTTCAACTACCACCTATATGCCGACGACACACAAATCTATCTCTCAACCCCCCACCTCACCCCCTCAGTCTCCGCCTGAATCACACACCTACTGAGCGACATATCAGACTGGATGTCGCTCCACTTCCTTAAACTGAACCTCTCCAAAACCGAGTTTCTTGTCTTCCCCCCAGCCCCCACACCACCCCCCATTGACTTCTCCATCATGTCCAACAACGCCACCATCAAACTCGCCCCGCAGGCCAGAGTACTTGGTGTCATTCTGTACTCCAACCTATCCTTCCAGCCCCAAGTCCAATCTTTAACAAACTCATGCAGACTCCACCTCCGCAACATCGCCAAAATACGCACGTTCGTAACCCCAGAAACCACTAAACAGCTCATCCACTCCCTCATCATATCACGACTCAATTCCTGCAACTCCCTCCTTACTGGCCTGCCTTGCCGCTGGCTATCCCTGCTTCAATCAATCCTGAATACGGCTGCCAGACTCATTCACCTTTCCAACCGCTCCGTTTACACCATCCCCCTCTGCCAATCCCTCCATTGGCTTCCGATTGCTCAACGGATCAAATTCAAAATCCTAACACTGACGTACAAAGCTGTCCACCATACTGCCCCGAACTACATCACCGACCTAATATCCAAGTACCACCCAACACGCACACTCCGCTCCTCACAAGACCTCCTTCTCTCTAGTTCCCTGGTCTCCTCCTCCCATGCCGGCCTCCAGGACTTCTCCAGGGTGTCACCCATCCTCTGGAACTCCCTGCCCCAAGCCATCAGATTATCACCTACTCTCCTCTCCTTTAGGCGCACCCTGAAAACCCACCTCTTCAGGGAAGCCTACCCCACCCCCTGCTAACTTGCTGACCTCCTCCACTCTTCCTACTACTCCATCCCCCACAGCTTTCTCCTCCTGTGCAACCATCCCCTCCCTCCTAGATTGTAAGCTTGAAAAAGCAGGGCCCTCGATCCCCTCATGTTTTGCATTGTATTGTATTGTTATTGTTCTGTCCCCCATTGTAATGTACAGCGCTGAGCGAACCATTGGCGCTTCATAAATACTGTATAATAATAATATAATAATAGTGACAAACAGTCAGAAAAGTAGTAGGGAAAAAAATGTCAATGGCCTCCATCTGTAAAACCATTCCTGTTGTGGGGGCCATCTCACTGTTGCCCATCTAGTGCACCTGTTGTTACTTTCATTAAACCAAAGCAGCTGAAACTGATTAACAACCCCCTCTGCTACTTAACTGACCAGATCAATATCCCAGGAGGTTATTGACTTGATGCTATACTCTGATTAAAAAGTGTTCCTTTAATTTTTATGAGCAGTGTATATACTTTAGGCTATATTTGTGTGTACAGTTGTGGATATGATGTATGCTCCCTGAGATGGGCTTTTTGTTTTTTTCGTTCTGTTAAGTTCTGTGTGCCCTACCTCTTAATAAATCAGGTACAACAAGTAACATTTCTAAGGAATTTCATCACTCTTTTCATGACCCCAGACGTTTTGTACATTCAGTGTCTGAACTGAACAGTGTATTATTAACACTAAGGTATTAGATTATGAGTCTCAGCATCCCATATGTAGATGAGAACACAAAGCTTCTCTGTTTTAAGAAAAATAACGGCTTTACAATATGATCCACATACCTCTCTCTACCACATGTCAGCCTTCTGTAGCCCAGCAGTACTGCTGTCTTCCTCTTTTGGATTTGACATTCCATCTATTACCATTCAAGTTGCTTCTGTCTCTTCTAGTACCTGTTCTTTTAGAAAGAATAAAATGACAAATTCTTCCCTTGGCAGAAAACCACCAAGAGGGGTGAATTTAAGGTGAATGCACAGTGGGTGGATTTTGCCACTTATCCATTATGCCCTGTGCCCCCTTTAACCCCAGCCAGCAAACTCACAAAACTGAATAAAGGAGAGCTGAATAACCCAACTCCTCACTATAACAGGTATACAAGGGGTGAGATGAGAACATAAGCATATAACTATGTACTAGCTGCTGTAAGGAAAGGACGGGGGAACAACTGTATAGTTCAACCATCGCATCCTTGTGACCTCTGGGAATTGGTACTTTTCTTCTATACGTCCCTACCTACTGGCAGCCATCCATCAGTCTGGCACCCTGGCCCTCCTCAGCATTGTAGTCTGGTTTATGAATGGAGACATTTGCCACAGCAGTGACTTGTATCCAATTCGATATTGTTGATGAGGGAGGAGGGATATTTAATTAATAATACAAAGTGCGTGTGACATATCTTTCTGGTTTTATATTTAAACAACAAAAATACCTGGAGGATAATAAATTGCTGTAAATATATTTTGTATTTCAGCAGAGAGACCTCCAAGTAAACATTGGTCAATCTGCAAACCAAAAAAGGGAAGTATGTATTACATAAAGGGAGATTAGAATGAACTGTGCTTTACTTCTTGCAAATGTAGCCATGAGTGTGAAAGTCTGGGCACCCCCAAAAGTCAGAAACTCTGACTCTCTCCTATTCTGTTAAAACATGCCAGTCTGCAACACAAGTTAGATTCAAGTCTGTAGAAGTCAACATTAAAGAATATGTTCCCCTTTTGGACAAAAATAAATGCACAGTTTTTGTAGGTAAAAAAATGTGCATTTATTCTTTTTGTCCAAAGGCGCCTGTAAAGCATTGCACCAGTGATCAGTAGGTCGCTGATGCTATGCAGTTCTCCTGCAGACGTTTTCAGAATATCTGCTTGCCGTACAGGATGTACAGTCAAGCAGATATACAGACAGGAAGCTTTAATAAACTACCATGGTGCTCCACAGCACTGTGATAGTTCATTGAAAACTACAAGCAAACAGCCACTAAGACTGCCGGGACTTGTGGGCACTCATTCACAGAACTCTGTTTCCCTGTACTATCTGTCAGAGGGAGGGGGGCTGCGGGCACGTCTGTGGCAGTGGGAAAATGTTAAATGTTCCATCCTAAAAATGACTGGAACATGTAATATGTTCCAAAGGTGAACTTCTCCTTTAAACACAACCCCCACCAGGAGTTCCAATCAACTTTCTTAACAGAAGTTCTACAACTCAGCAGTATCATAACTTTCACTGAACTAGGTAAGCAGGGCCTGTAGTCCTTGGTCACACCGGTGCGACTTGTCATGTGATTTGAAACTTTCAAATCGCATGACAAGTCACACCCTATTGTCTGCAATGGAAGCAATCATACCAGTGTGATTCTGACTCCATTGGAGTCGTACCAATTTTAAAAGTGGTTCACACACTACTTTTTGCAAGTTCTGGTGCAATTTGCACAGACAACTATTCTTGAAGTCGCAGAGATGTCTTGCAACTGGCACCTGAAGTTGCACTGCCATCCGACTTTGAAATCGGGTAACTTCAAGTCAGATTTGGTGTGACTGAAGACTTATGTGTCAATGGATAA